CAAAACCCCAAAACCCCAAAACCCCATTACTTAGAATTTGAAGAAAGTAGAATACTGAAAATATTAATAAAAGAAATCATCATATCATAAATTCATACCCTTGTAATTCCAAGGCTTTAACCTCTCTGTAAGTCCACTCATCCATCTATTTCATCCTCTACTAATGTTTATCATATAAATCTCAATTAATCTTAATTTCTTTCACGTTTTCCATTGTCATGGTTGCTGGGCAAGTGTGACACTTAAATTTATTATCTCTACCTGTCGCAGTTCTAGCATGCTTTGCTAATGAATTCTTACTCATAACATGCCCACAAATTAAGAGCATAGGATTATTATCTTTATGAGAGATTTCTTTAGATACTGGACAGATAAAAATATCATGAAATTTGAAATCTCTGCCAAGGTCAATCTCACAGGGTAGTTCATTGTGCTATTTTTACAATCCTCCAAATCCCTCATTCTTTAAACTCATTTTCTACATTACTGTTGCAAGCTTTGGAAGCGCCAAGGTGCTTGCTTGAGTTGTCAAAAGTAGTCCACTTTCAGGAGACAATCCTTATAATCTGCAATAGTCTTTTACAAAGCCTTACTCAAGAATGGAGAATTAATCGTCCTACAATATGTCTAGGTACTATTGTGTTAGTTAATTTGGTTAATGGCTCGGATTTATTGACTTTTAGTATAGAAACTCAGCAATCACATCTAATTGAAGAATTGATCCCATCATATGATTGATCTACGCCTAGTACTTTGGAGAAAATTATCTCATCGACTTTTATGAATACTTGATCATATAGTTATTGTTCTCTTTTATTTGATGCTCTAGTGAGGCTTTTTATTTCATAAAATTTTACAGTCTTACTTTCTCATCATCTATCTCAATAATCTAGTTTTAATTCTCAGACTCATTCATTACTACATCATCCTTTATCTCCTCGCTTCTCACTTATTATTACATATAGCCCAAATGAGAATTCTAGGAATTTGTTGTACTGTCTTTTCCTTCTTTGAGCTTCTTAAGTTATAGCTTAAGCTATGCTTATTAGTTTAATAGTTAGTAAAACTCTGTCTTATGGAGATTGAAAAGCATATCACTGCTTATACCGTCTAGCTCTTTGGCTTTAGCCTTAGCCCATAATAGAGCTGATGATACTCTTCTCTCTTTCAAATCAAGAACTATGGAATTTAGTTCCTTAAACTTGTTCTTAAATTCCTCATCTAATGCAACTTTCGCTTCTATAGTAAATGCCTCACCTGCTGAATAATGGCCTGACCTGAACATATGCTCAGCTATGGTTTGATTAAGAACAGGCTTATCTAAAGTAAACTCTTTAAATAGTGGCTATTCATATTCCTATTTTGAAATGAATTCCTTTCCCACTTATTTCCCATACTTGGAGAGATGCTCGTAGTAATTTTTATTGTGATTAATTATTCTTTTTACCACATCCTAATAAAATGAATGATTTTACTATTGAAATTTTCAAACTTACTGTTCCCTTCTTTGGTAGCTAATTAAGTTGAGCAGCTATTGTCATTTGCAATTAGGTTTCATCTCCATTCATCTAGAGTAATTATTAGCATTCAATTATCAGAATTCGATCAATTTTGTTAATTTTTTCATTCAAATTCATCTCATTTATTTTTCACTTACATTTTTAATAATGTTTTACTTCGAGTTATTTAACTCACTAATGAGTGCATCTATTCTTGTTACCATTTCTTTTCTCTATTCTTATACCTTTGAGTGTGTCTTGTCAAGATCTGTTATTAGGGCTTGCATCTAATATAATATAAGATTATGAATGAACTAAGTATTTTACATTTCTGTTTAGAGCAATTATGAGTATTTATGATTTCTACTTTTTAAATTATTATTCTACTTAAAATCTTTTATAAATGCTTTCTGGGGTTTTGGGGTTTTGGGGTTTTG